ATATATGTTCTAATTAACAAGTTTACTTAGAATAATGATGCCAATTTAGGCTACAATTTTTGACTTTTTAATATAAATTACTACATAAGATCGTGTAACCAAATTAAATTATAAATAAATAAATAAAAAAAATGAATAATTAACAAAACATTAACTTTCTCTTCTTGTGTGGAAATCTACATAACAATTTCAGATAACTCATTATCATAAAACCCACCTCATCTTCTTGTAATACTAGCAATATAATATCCATCGTCGGAATCAAGAATTAGCATTTTGTCCTTGGTTCATTTTGATTTTTGTTATTAAAAAATAGTTGTTTCAGGAAATTAAAATTAATTGTTAAATTTAAAATTATTTGATTTTTATTGGAGTATTTGATTTAGTTTACTTGTCTGAAGTCTCTTACACTTCTGGCATTTATAATAAATTTAGTATGAATTCATTAAAGGATTTGGATTTACAAACTCGGGAGTTTTCAATTCCACATGTAGTATTAATTCCATAATTTATTATGTCTATTTTCTAAAACACAAAAAAGATCAATAAAAATAAGCAGTTAATTAACAATAATGATTTTAGAAATGTCCTTTAATTAGTCATATGGGCCAATTTGTCCGATCGGCAAAAGAAAAAAGTATTAATATTAATGACATGTGTGCGTTACATTTTGATGATCATTATTTATTTTAGATATAATTATATTTTAAAGATACAAAATATTTTAAAAATGTTATCCCAAATCAAGTATTTTCATCAGAAATATTTTTTATGATAATAAATAACAATTTAAATGTAAATCAACCAAGAGGTGGAACTCGTTGGTCATTATTAATCTATGTTAAAGGGCTTAATACATTTTTTCATATACACGTTAACAATTAAAATTAATAGAATGAAATTTAGAGCAATTGTGCTGCATCCTTCAACATCATCAATATTATTGTCTCAATCAATAATATCTTCGTCAACATCATCAACATCAACATCATCAATATTATTGTCTCAATCAATAACATCTTTGTCATCATCTCCTGAATCAACATCAACACCACCTTATCAACCAACACCAGTGGTATTAGAACAAATAAGTAATAAATATAACTGCATATTATGTGGTAAATGGTTGAAATCAAAAATTACATTAAGGAATCATGAAAACAAATATCATAAATTCAACAAAATAATTCCACATTTTTCAGTTTTATCATCATCTAATAACAATGTATTATAATCAACATTCAAAAAAAAACTGGGATTCAATAGACATCATGTTGGTGTTAAGAAATTCATTTTGGAACCTTTTCCTGAAAATGTTTTTGCAATGCTTTTTTTTTCAAGAAAATTTTTTTTATTATCCTATTAAAAGATACTATATTTGTAAATTTGAAAATATTGAAGGAAGGAATAATTTAAGTATAATATTAAATAATTATAAATGGTGGGAGAAAAAAAACAATGCAACTGGTACAATTTCTTTTGTTGTGATGGAGGATGATGGAGTAGTAAAACCAGAAATCAAATTTCTTTGGAGAGAAATTTTTTTAAATAATATGAAATGTGGATTTTGTAAGGTTGAGTTTAATGTGAATTCTAAATAAAATTTAGTTAATTGAATCAATTGGATTAATATGAATAATAATTTTTTTTTGAATAATGAAGGTGTATTATTTTTTAGATAATATAATTGTCTATTCTCAAAATTTAATATTTTATATACAGCTGATTGTTTTTTTTCACCACCACCCATACAAGTAATTCCAAAAAACAAACGAACCTAAAAAAAAAATTTATTAATTAATATAATATCTTTTTTTTTTTTAAAAAAAAATAAGGAAATATTATATTCACATGATGATGATTCTTTTTTTCTACACTTGAAGAAGAAAACAAATGCAATGATAATGCTTGATTTTTTAATTCTTTTAAAAATTGTAGTATATGCATGGCAAACACATGCATATAAGGAGTAACATCCTCACTATGATATATGGGGCATGGACAATAGAAACGACCCAAATGTCAAAAATATGATTTTGAGTTAATAACATTCCTATATGTAATTCATTGCAAAGATTAATTTTAGCTTAGAAACCATACCCACTTTGCTTAATAAAATTTTGAGTTATTTAAAAAAAAATTGCAAAGACATAAGAACCAAAAATTGATGTTATACTACTAAAACAAGTAATGATAAACATAAATCCAGGAATTTGGTTCAAATAATGTAACACGAAATTTATTAAATAATTTTTGTAATAAAAACAAACGGAAAATAAAAATTTAAAATCCATTTTGTCACAACACAAATAATTAAATTTATATTTTAAAAAAATGACTTCTACACATTTATTTTTTAACAATATTTTTTCTGAAACACATCCTGATTTAATTGACTTAGAAGAATCTTTTGCAAATTTGAGAATAAGTTATATGTCTAGTTCAATTATTAACAAAAATGAAGAAAGAGTTGGTGAAGCAGAAGTAAGCTATGATGAAATAGAAGAAAGTGATGATGAAATAGAAAAAAATGATCATGTATCAGAAACATTGTCTAAAGAACAAATAGATAAATTTAAAAATATTTATAATAAAAATAAAATAATAGATGACCAAGTTATTGATTCTGAAGAACAAATGGAAATAGATAATGATATAAACCATTATATAGAAAATTTAGTACAAAAGAATTGCTGTCAAAAAGAATGTTTGAAAAAGAATTTAAATTCTAATAATATTAAAACTAGATATAAATGTTTTCTTAATTTAAGAAAAACTGAGCAAGACATTTTTTTGAAAGGCATTCTTTCTGCTAGTTTGAGAAGTGAAACAACTGCCAAAAAAGAAAAAAGAATAAAATTTGCAAATATTTATTTTTTTGATGGAACAGAAATTTGTAGAACTGCATTCATGGGTATCTATGGCATAGGTGATACAAGATGGAAAAATATTAGAAGTCATTTTAATGATTTTGATATACAATTAAGAACAAGTTCATTAACAGGGAAAGCAAGTAATAGAGCAATATCATTTGATGGAGTTTTGCAGATTATTAAATTCATATTAAATTATTCTAATATAAATGGACTACCATCTCCAGGTAAACAAAAATAAATTATTAGCAAACTTTAAAATTAAAATGGGAACTTATTAATCAATGTAATTTATTATAGGAAGAAAATTTAAAAAAGACACAAAGAATATTATATTTCTTCCAGCAAATGAAAATCATACTACCGTATTTAAATATTTCATTGATACAATTGAAGAAAATTCTGAAATTTACATCTCAAACAGAACATTTTGAAGAATATGGCAGACATATCTTCCAGAGATAAAATTTCTTACACCTAGAAGTGATTTATGTCATATTTGCAAAGAACACAGGTTCAATGCAAATTATTGGATGCCAGAGGAAAAAGAAATAAAGATCAGAGAATGGAATGATCATATTACATGGGCAACAAAGGAACGTGAATATTATAGGTATATATATCAACAGTAAATTTTTTCTTTATTATAGATTCCTGAATTTATTTTGACTAAATTGTTAATTTTTAGAGATTGTATAAAAAATGCAAAGGAATCATTTGAAAATTCAAATCGAGATTCAAATGCCATTAGATCTGTAAAATCCATTGATGCTAAACTTCACATTTCATGGGATTTTGCAGAACAAGTTCATATCCCATATTCTACACAACAAGTGGTATGCATATTATTTTATTTCCATACAATTTTTTCAACGGTGATTAATTTTAAATTATATTACAAATAAAAGGCAAGTACATATTTTAAATCTTTGTATAAAGTTCAAGTATTTGGCATTTGTGAAGATTTTAAACCAAGACAGGTAAATAATATTTTCTAAAAAGTTTTAATTTTTTTTTAAATTACTTTCATATAATAATATAATTGTTATTCAGATAAATTACCTTATAGAAGAATCACAGTATGTTGGTAAAGGAGCTGATACTGTGATTTCTCTAGTTCATAATTATTTTGAACAATATAGTCTTGGTGAAGAAGAAATAATAATTCATGCAGATAATTGCTCTGGTCAAAATAAAAACAATGCAATGATTCAATATTTGGCATGGAGAGTATTGACAGGTAAACATAAAAGAATTACATATTCTTTTATGGTAGCTGGACATACCAAATTTAGTCCTGATAGTTTTTTTGGATTGTTGAAATTGAAACTTAAAAATTCTGAAGTTGATGATTTAGATGATCTTGTTAATGTTATAAAATCATCAACAAATGGATACAATAATGCTCAGACAATTTATGATGAAAGTGGTGAAAGAAAAGTTTTTTTCTACAGCTGGACTGAATATTTAAAAAACATTTTTAAACCATTACCAAATATTTTAAAATATCATCATTTTATTTTTGATCAAGAACAACCAGGAACTATATATGTTAAAAAGAGGATTGATGAAGAATTCACAATTGTAGATATAGCTAAAAATTTGGATATAGAGCCTATTTTAGAGCAAAAACATCCTTTAGGTTTGACACCTGAACGACAAAAATATATATTTGAAAATGTTATTCCATATGTTCAAAACTCTGTTAAAAAAGATTTTTATAAATTTTAAATTTTAAATTTTTATTATATTATTTATTATTTATATTGTTATTATTGTTAAATATTAAATAAATTTTTTTGGAAAAAAGCTCCCAAGTTTTGTAATAAATAAGGAAATGATACACATATACCGAATTTTTGGGTCAAAATCTTTTTTTTTGATTATTTTGACGTTTGGGCTGTTTCTATTGTCCATGCCCCAAATATGTTCTTTGAGATTTACTTTAAAATTGTTTGCTGTCTCTCCTCATCAAACAGCACGTGAAAGCGTATTCTCTGTTCTAGACTGGATGATTGGTGAAAGAAGTACTAGAATATTTTTTAAATTCGTAACTTAAATACTAGAATTAAAAGATTATATATTTAATTTTATTTTTAAAGGTTGAATGCTACTCAACTTCAACCAATGACTCAAATTCACTCTTATTATATCACTAATAAAAAAAGAGAGCTTAAATAATCTAGCGATGATGTGAACTTGAAACTATTATTCAAGTGTTGATGATTTTTGAATATGACAAAGAACAGGAAGATGAGAATCAGAATGATTATGATGAAAATATTGGTTTAAATGATAAGGTAATTATACTTTGTTTATGGAAGAATAATGGATTTGGGTCTTCTGACTTTGATGAAAATGGGATGATGATAAAGACTTGACAGGAATGAATTAGAAGTTTTTAATCAATGGTGATAATAACATTGATTTTGAAACAATTGAGGTTATCTATTATGTTTTTATTCGATTATAATATAGTTATGGATTTTGCACTACTACTACATCATTTTCATTTTACAAGTTTATTAATTCCCACTCTTTTTCGATTTTATCATCTTAAAATATATTCAACAGGGTCATTTGCTAAATTAAGATGAGAATGTAGTTATTATTTGGACAAGACTCACATCGCCTCAAAATAGAGAGTCATCCTCTTCCTACATCCTCGTTGCACTATTCCTCTCCACTTTGTCCATTATGACACTGAGGTTAATTCAAATAATTATTTGTGATCTATTCCTTATACCATTAGCATCAACTTTGCACCAGTGTGGTCTTCGAGATGGACCTTCACAAAAGGTTGAGGATATCATTGATCTAAATGTTTTGGGAATTTCAGAATTGAGTAGTCACAAGGTATTTTTTGTTCAATTATTACCTTATTTAAAATCAAGTACTTATTTTTGCATCTTTAGCTATTGACACATATGATGCTAGCACTCAAAAGTGAAACTATTCTTAAAGCTCTCACTGATTGACACAAAAAGGAAAGTCTCTACACAAAACAGAATTGAGTTCATTCAATCAATTTTACTTGTTTAGGAATATACTTGTTGTCTATGTTTTCCAAGCTGTATAACAGCCATTTTTTAAGTGAATTAAACTCCGGCTTTAATACCTCTGTTGATTTGGCACTGGATGAAGAATTGGATTTAAAAAGTTAGAAATCAAACTTCCCTTGGGGAATATCTTTAGAAGGAGGAAAGCAATGTCATCAAACTGGAGGAATTTTCAATACTACACTGTTTCAAAAAGTTGGAGAAAGAAAAGTTTTTGTGATAATCAGAATCCTTTAGTTATCCTTAATACACTCATTAATTTCTTCTGATCCAAGCACATTACTTCTCAAACAACATTGGACTTAATCATCTTTACAAGTTCATCCTTACTGAAGCACATAATTGATATCCTCTTGAATCTGAAAAAGCATTTCGACACTCTAACATTTGTGAGCTGGCAATTCATCATACTCCATTATTACCATTCATGTTCTATACTGGTGCCTTTGTATGTCAATCAAATCCATTGCCCATATTATTACAATGTGAATTTCAAATCCAAATTTTATACTGAGAGGAAGTTTATTGCAAAAGCACTTACATTTTAAGAAAAGGATTTAATGCCTGTATGAAATTATTGCAGATTTTGGAGGTAGAAAATAATATAGAGCAAGCAGATCACTAAAGGATAATAGTGTTTCAAAATGATGGAAAAGATGAACAAGCTTTTATGGGTACTTCGATTCTCACTCATTGAATCAGAATTTCAGGTGAATCCCTCAGAACTTAAAAATGAGCAGAGAAGCAATTGATTTGGTAATACAGGTAATATCAAAATGTAATAGATGGAACTCGAGGAAACTACCAGGAAGCAACTGAAGTGTCACTATCATTGTTGGAAAATAAAAAGATTGAAATTTTAAGAAATGAAATTGGTGATTTGTAGAACATTCTAAAGACAGTTAGTGAAGCTTTGTAATGGAAGATTAAAAAAAAACAATTCAGGCTTAGAAATACATGCTTGTTGTTTTAAAAGTGAGTGATGATAAATAATAGCATAAAATTTATTGCATTATTTATCACATCTTTTTCCAATGACTTTGGATTTTTAATATTATCAAATCTTAACCTGAAATGATCACATTTTGAAAAAAAAGATTTATGATCTTTCTTTCAAACAGGTTGGATGAGATGGTATACATAGTACTTCTGTTGTTGTCTTTCACAAATATAAATGAACCATTTCATAGTGTTATAAGATATCCAATGTTTGCATTGTATTTATAATTTTTTAAATAAAAAAAAAACAATTGATAATAACAATTAGCAAAGGTTATATAAGCAAATGGTTTGGAATTTATTTTATTATAATTGTTTTTAATTTAGTATTGTAAGTACACACAACTAATGTAAATATTGTAAATATTATTATAATAACTGATAAACAGCTATTATATAGATTAATATCTATTTTTTTTATCTATTATTTATATATAGGCATAAATGAAAAAAAGTTGAGAATTGACAGTTTGATTAAATTAAATATTGATATTTATTTAGTATCATCTGATTTACTGCATAATGAAAAAGAAGTAACAAATCCGACAACTACTGCTGCACTTAATCCTTTCCAAATATTAAAACATTGCCCTGAATCCAATTGACAAAAAAACCAATGGCTTAATCCAAAAACTACAATTGCCCTGACTGAATTCAATAATCCTGTAGAAACATTTCCAAGATGTTTCATCAGCCAATAATATGCCAAATTATGTGCAAATGAAACTATTATCAGTAGGAGATAAATAAATATTATTGTAAATGTGCTATCGTGTTGACTTAACTTTGCCATCTCTTGTGTTATTAAAATATCCCAGTTTGGAATTGTGTAAAATATTATATATATCATTGAAAATCCTGTTCCAAAACTTCCTATAAGAAAACAAATGGTTTCTGGTGATGGTGGTATCATATCATAAGGCGTTTTCATATTCAATATCAAATCTGAAAAAACATAAATACATGCATAGCCAAGTGTTGCAAATGATACAAGAATCATTCCAAACATTGATCTACTTAAATTAAAATATTCTATTTCTTCATTATCATCATCAATCGTCAAAGTTTCTGTAACTTCTGAGCTTTGATTGATTCCTAATGCACTCAAAGCAAGTCCAAATGATACTCCAACTATTGAGATTGATTGTATGAATGAAAGTTTTCTTCCAAGTAAAAAGAATGAAAGAATTGCACACCAAATAACCACAGAACTATAAATTACTTGATACATCTTACAAAAAAGTTTTATCATATAGAGGTTAAATGTATATCTTTTTTTTAGTAGACAAATGATTATTTCTTATTATTACACTTACTCCACTTCCTATATAAAAAAATCCAATTGTAATTGCAAAATTTGCTATAAGATCTAATAAAGTTGCTGCAATAATATATTTGTAATTAATGTATTCTCTAGGTTTCATTGATGATTCATTTTCTCCTTGTGGATTTTCATAATTATCATCATCATCTTTGTAATTATCAATAATATCATCACTATAATCACCATCGTCATTATCATCACCATTGTCATTATCATTACTATTATTATAATCAAGTTCTTCATCCAAATTATTTGTTAAAAGTTGATAATCTTTATTAGTTTTCTTTATTTTTTTGGTTGACTGAAGAAGTAGTAATAAATTAATTTACTAATTCAATAAAAACAACACGTACATTTCTCTTTATTTTATAAAATAAAAATAAACCTGCGATTTTTTAAAATCCACCATATCAATTTCTGTTTCAATTCTATTTCCGACTAAATACCTTGATCTATTTTCAAGCCAATTAGGCAAAAGAAGTAAGCCAACAGCTGCCATTCCGATATATTGTACCAGATTCGTAAGAAAGCTGTACGAAAAAAAAATTTTACTTCTAAGTAACAAAAATGAAATTCTCGAGAAAATATATTATCTATATTGTCCAAATACCTAGCACCAGATGTTGCTTTTTGGTAATATAAATATTGAGTACCAAGAGTTTGCAATAAACCTGTAAAAAGAAATAATACTTGATAACATATTATAATAAATAATGATGGACTTGTAGTTTTCATGATCTTAAAAATTTCGTTTATGAAAATTTTTTTGTAAATTTGTTACACGAATTACAATAACAGAAAGAACAATAATGTTTCCACAAAAAAAAAATCTTCAATTAATAGAACCGGCTTATAGAGATAAATTAATAGGTAAATAATAAAAACACGCCGATTTATCGTGTATATTCATTTTATCAAAGCATTGTCTTAACGGGTTCTGACTATATTGCTTTTTCGATCAATTAATGAGAGGACAATCATATTTGAACTGTTATGTAAGAAAACATCAAAAGTTGTGAAAAAATACTCAGAATATCTTACTAAAAATGGATAGTGTGTTTCCTTTTTGGGACTTTTTTTTACAAATTTTTATTATGTAAATGATTGAAGATCTGACTGGTGTTTTAACGAGATCACTACTGTAAAATAGTAAATTATAAATCACGGGAACGAACATATAAATCGGAAATGATTTACATGTATCACGAAGTGAAAATTTGGAAACGATTATCACGGAATAACTCAACAAGAAATACAGTCAGGGTTCTTTCCAAATTTGGAATTTCCAAATATGTAATGATCGACGTGGCTAATGCAAAACTTGATCGACAATAAATGATTCCGAATTGATAATAAAGAATAAATAAATAAAACTTTGTATTACGAATATAAACTCTAATTAAAGAGTATCAAATGTTTACAAGAAAAACTATATATACATGTAAAAATCAAAATTTTATTGTCTATTATGAACAAAAGTGATTAATATAATTAATAATAATATGGATTTGTTGATGGTGGATAAAATGAAGTTGTTATTATCCATTAGATAGACATTTATAGATTCCTTTGGTTTAAGTGAATGCTACATCTAAAAATAATTTTAGAGAGAAATAAATCATGATCAATTAAATTTTTAATGATAATGGAAAAAGGATCAAAATTTTTGGTTGGCAAAAAATTTAGAATTAAATAATCAATAAATTATACATTGGATGATACTTATCTTATTATTACACAACACATGATTCAATTGCCTTTTACAGTTTCCTTTCAAATCATCTCTTCTACTTCATCATTATCAGCTCCATCATGGATATCTTTAACTTGTTGCAAAATCAACAGTAATTCTTCTTTCTTTTTTGATGCTAGTCCTTTAAACTGTGGGCGATTGGTTTCATTTAATGATCCAATTAATGATTGAATTATCAATATTAATTCCCTTTTTGACATTAAATTTTCTGATGATTGCTTTTCTTCTTCTTCAAGAGTAATTGGTATGATGCGTGTAGTTCTTCTAGATGGTTTTATTGAACCTAGTTTTTCTTTAATGAAATCTATTCGATGAGCTTTAGCTGTTGAGCTAAATGATTTCATTGCCTCACTTAATTTATTTTTGTCCAAACTTTCAAAGGCACGATTAGGTTCAAATGGATCCAAGAAACCAATTTTTCTTAATTCTACTCTAAAGTGCTGTGATTCTTTTTCAAAGCCTGGACGTGAACGAGAACCTGTACTTTCATGATCTGTATAACCAATTGTAGAAAATAATTTCTTTCGAAGCTAGTGGTAAAAAAATTTTAAGTTAAAAAAATTTTGATTTTTACAATACAAATAATATTAATGATTACCATCAAAAACTTAATACAATTCCTAGCAGCAATCTCCCAATGTTTTTGTGTAGGAACAGGTGGTACAAGTACTTTTAATGCTTTATTCACTTCTTCAAGTATAGCATCTAAACCCTGGTGTTGAGATATCCATCCAGACCTGGACACAACTAAGGTTGCGGGAGAAACTCCTCCAGAAATCAATCGACAGAGTTTCGACAGGTTACACATTAATTGTTTATTAGAGTTTCGGCAGAGTTTTGCATTTGGGGTTTTCGCCAATCATCAGAGTTTTGACAGGTTACACATTAATTGTTCATTAGAGTTTCAACAGAGTTTCGACAGTCATTAAGAGGTTTCGCCCACAACCTTAGACACAACAGAATTTTGCTCAATGATCTGACGAATTTCAGGACAAAGGCGTAATTGTTGTTCTTCATCAGCAACCTCAATTGATTGATAAATAGGGTGTCTTCTTGCTGACCAAATTGGAGCAAAAATTCTTCGTGCTGCTGCTTTAAGAAGAGGTAGTTTGTTCCTTATTCCAGTACGATAGTTGATTATAGCTTGTAGATACCAAAAGATCTTAAAAATTGATGTGTTTATTAGCATTTATTTATAAAATTATTATCATCAGATAATTTTCAATTGTTTACCTGTTGAAATTTTAATTTATATAATTCATCATTTTGGTTCATAGCCCAATCAAGATATCTTTCAACAGAAGGATTAGAAACTGAAGCAACATATGGCCATACCAATTCCATTGACATTGCATGGCGGTATATATTGCAAATTGAATCCCATGCTTTGTGATAGTCTCCACATTTTTTAAAATAACCCAATTGAGGTTCTGAACGAAATCCTTGACATAGTGCAAATCTTTTTAAATCAATATTCCTAAAATTAAGAATAAATAAATATTAGCAATTATTATATTAATAAATAAATATGCAATAAATAAATAAATAAATATGCAATTAATAAATAAATAAAACAATATACCAATTTAACTCTACAAAAGCTTTTAACATATTCATTTCTTCGTGAAGTTGTCCTGGAATCATGAGAATTCTTGGATAGTCTTCCTTAATTTTTTGTGCATAGTTATATGGAACTCCATCACAAACTACTGGAATCCATTTTCTTTCACTTTTGTTGATTCCACTAATTTCTTGAATGTGATCTAACACTTTACGAACATTTTCAATAGAGTTAGGGTTTAATGGTAAAGGATCTGGAAGAGAAATGTCAGGCACCTTAACACCATCTTGAGAGGATGATTTTTGAGTTATACTAATTGGATTTATATGTGGTGCATCGGAAATTTTGGTAGAATTTTGGTAGAATCTGATATGTAAAGGTTTTGTGGTATTTGTTGTCTCTAAGATTGATTGGCTAGCTTCTTGTTGAATTTCAGCAATATTGGCCAATTTTTCATCACAATCAGGACATTTACGTCATAAATTTTCTATCTCTGTTTTACCACATTTATTACACCTTTTTTGTTTACCCATTGTTGTATTATGCTCAGCTGCTAAATAATCAATAATATTTGTATCATTTTTTTCTGCACATGCTTCATTTAAGATGACAGAAAGATAGTCATAAAGTTGTTGGTCAAGTAATTGTTGCATTTCAGGCGTGACATCAAAAAGCTCCTCAATCTGTGATGAATTTAATTTTTGATTTAACCATGGTTCCTGAGTTGTTTGTATTTGATCAATGGGATCAAAATTAAATGCAAGAAAACTAGTAACTGTATGAAAAACCACCGTGTTATAATTACGATCTAAATAGTTCTTCACCCCCTTTTGCTCGTTATCAAAGGCCAAAATTAGTAAACCTTTTGGAAGTGGTATAGCTTCACCAGCTAAATTTTCTTGCCATTTGATGAATTTCTTGTAACCACCAGAACTCAAAAAGTGACTATCTAAATCAATAATTGTTTTTGATTTTGCTATTGAGTATTTGACAGCTGATGCAGCTAAATTAATTGCAGAAACATATTTACGATGTCTTGCACCATAAATAGCATCAACTGCTACTACACATTTAAAAAGTTGTTCTTCAAGTAGATTTTCATTTTCATGTGTTGTAATTTGTTTTATAAATTCTATGACTACTGGATTTTGCCTAGCGAGCCATTCAGAAGCAGAGTATCTTAAAAGGCCATCTAAACTAAATCGATCTTGATCATTAATTAAGCTAATGATATCATCATATATGTTTTTACGTTCACACTTAGCAATTTCTATAATAGACTCAACTCTCAATTGTTGATCATTGTATCTATTATTCCACTTTTCTTTCAATTTTTTATTTTCTGATATTAATTTTGAATTCTGCATTTCTAGCCCATTTATTCTTTGTTGATATTCATTTATGAGATTAGCATCTTTTATTGTTGATATTCATATTGATTTAATTGATTCTTTGTTTTTTCTAATTCTAACAAAATATTTATGTGGCGTGTGTCCTGTTCTTGTGGAATTTCTGCATCTTCATCAATTACTTTAGGTCGTTTTCGTTGGCCTTCTTCTCTTAAAGAACTAGAAACAGAATCATCTATTGCTTTTAATTTTTCAAGAAAAACATTAGAAGTAACAATTTGATTGTAATGTCTAACACAAATTGAATAGTTATCTAGAGATTGAATTAATAAAGATAATTCAGAAAAATCCTTTGCAAATATTTTTACACACTCATTTGCTTTACTTTCTGATGTTCATTTCCAATATTACTCGTCACTGTTAGTATCATCACATGGTACCAATTGGTATTTTTGAACAAGTGAAGCAAATAAACAAGGTAAATCACTAGCAAGTGTTTTATTCACTATGGTTGGAAAAAAAAGAAAAAAAGCTTTAGTAAATTGGCAAAAAGTTAAAATCATTCAAACTTCTATATACAAAAATTAGAATTTTAAGTAAAAACATACTTTGAGGATGACAATAAATTTTTATAGATTTTTAACAGATTATGAAAGGAAATATTATAGTATTTATTTCAACTAGTGTAATAGTATTTTTTTTTTTTTTTTCAAAGTATCACATCAGCCAACTTGTTTGTAACATGAAATTGATCAACAAAGTGGAGTAAATTTATATTTCCAAAAATTTGGAAAAGAACCTTGACTGTATTAGACCAGTTAAGGAATTTTTGCGCAATGTCAACCTCTTATACAGTATTGTAGTAACCAATTCATGAAAATCTAGGACTTTGGCTCACAAGCCAGCTCGTGAGGAGCTTTATCTAGGACTTTGATCATGAAATTATGAATAGATGTAACTTTGCAACAATTGGGCCATAGCCATAGAAACCACCAAGATTTGAACACAAGTTGGGCTGCAAATTATTTCTGAACAATTTTTAAAACCCCAAGCAAACATCAAATATTATGATGGAATAATATATCTTCTATTAAAGTTTTTTATTCTGAATTAATTTATTCATATCTATCTATATATTAAATATATTTATTGTTATCAAAATTTTCTTTACAATATCCTGCCACCACATATATATATATATATATATAATTCTAAGCATCCCAGCCCCAAACTTTATTAAAGAATTTTTTCATCTCTTCATAAGCACCCGTAGTTGTTCTTATATTTGGGGGTACTGGATTTGGGAGAAGTCTATCAGTGCTTGCTGACTTTTTTGGAAATACATGTTTAACTTTTATTTTTCTAAAATTTAACCCAAGATTTGACAAACTGGGTCTTGATGTTGAAAAAATTTGTTGCTGCTGCTGCTGCTGCTGTTGTTGTTGTTGTTGCTGGGTTATAGTTGATTGAATTATAGGTGATTGAGTTGATGTTTCTGTGATAGTTCTTTTTTTTAAATTTTTTAATTAACCACTTGACCTATTAATGAATTAATGAATTTTGAATTATTGATTTATATACACACCTTAAATTAGTACTATCAATATTAAATATCGGGACATTTTGCGAAGTTTGAGTTTGAGTATTATCAACTAAATTTCTACCAAAAGAAACCGATTCTCTTGAAATTATAGGATTCTGGAATGTTCCTGATTGTTGTCCAAAAAATGATGTAGTTTGCGTTGTAAAATCCATAGTTTGTGTTGGTTGGATTCCACCTTGGTTTTGCAAAGAAGTAGCATCAGCAGAGGTAAAATGTACAGGAAACTGTGAAAATGTATTATAGGTTCCTCCTGGTGATGAACTTTGAAACCAATCTTTTTCATATGCTTCCTCATTTTCTTTATTAATTTCTTCTACAATTTGTGAAATGCTAAGATTAGGATTTCTTCGACTACGTTCTAATATCTCATCTTGAGATATACCTATACGTTTTGTTGAATTCCTAATAAAATTTATAAAATTTTTTTAATAAAGATTTTAATCAAATTTATAATTAAAATAATTTTGTTGTTAAAGACCTTCGAAAATATGGATCTTGTTCCGTTCTTCGAATTCTTCTAGACATTGCCTATATATATATATATATATATTTTTCATAAATATATTAGTTCATCAAAAAATTTATAGAAATTAAAAAAAAGGAGGTAGGTGGTTAGTCACCTTTGCAGTGTTTTGGATGATTGGCTCAAAGTATTTAACTCTAGGTGGCTCTATTGCTTGTTGTAGGAGTGACCTATTCTTACAATTTTGACAATCATGAATATGTCCACAAGTAGTACATTTATGTGTAGGTTCATATGTTTGGCGACTGTAAGCACTTCCTTCAGGAACTAAAAAAAGTCGGCTCTGCATAAAAATACCATCAGGCTGTTGTAAAAGCTCAGGATTCTGTTGTGTATTAAAACCACTACTAGTATTGTTAGTGGTGTTGGTGATATTAGTGGTGGTGGTATTATTTAATAAAGAAGCATGTTGCTGTTGAGATTGTGCGGTTTGTTGAGGCTGTTGAGATGATGATTCAGTTTGTAAATTTCTTAGCATTTTTCTTTTTGATATTTTAACGAAAGAATACAACTCAATCAAATCAGTGCAACATACTTTGTAACAATTTAGAAAAGATTGGCAATAATTTGGTAATATAGTGCAAGACACCTAGTCCCACAACTTTTTATTGTCCTTGTAGATCCTTCTCTAACTCCAAAAATGGAAATGT